AAATTTAAAATAAAAGCAAAGATAATAATTAATTAGTATTGCGTTCGTTTACAATTGTTACGAAGGGTTGCCACCCAATTGGGCCCTGACCCCTGAGGCCTCTGACTCACCGACCCAACAAAGGTCCAGTGGCAGTGATATAATTACTGAAACTCTTACTGGTATTTTGGTAATTTCGTCACCGTTTTCAACCGCCAAACTCAGTTTACCTCGTTCGTCACCTCCGCTCCTCAGTCGTCACCGTTAATCAGGAGACTCATCTCAGCACATCGGAAACGTCGTTCGATTCACCGGAGAGAGGGAGGAAGATGGCATCAGGGTGGGGAATCACAGGCAACAAAGGCCGGTGCTACGATTTCTGGGTCGACTTCAGCGAGTGTATGTCCACCTGCAGAGAACCCAAGGACTGCGCTCTCCTTCGCGAAGACTATCTCGAGTGCCTTCACCATGCCAAGGAGGTATCTCTCTAATCCTCCTCTCGTTGCTGGATTTTTTGCTTTCTCTAATACATTTCTGTTTCACGTTGATTTAACGATCACCGCACCATACCTGCTGTTGCAATTTCGAAATCCCTATTTTTTTTTTTCCCCTGATGCTAATGTAGCTTGCAATTAGTTATTCTAAGATCGTTTCCTGATATTTCATATGAAATTTTGATGATAAATTTTTCAGAGTATATGCATCTGATGATACTTGTTTGATTTTTCTTTGGTGAATTTCAGTTGTGGCTATAGTGATTGCAATTGAATGAAATTTTCACTAGGCATAACTGCTATTCCGAGTTGGATTCAGCTCACTAAATTTAAATGGGTGGTCTTAGGATGGCTCCGGTGAATAAATTTCTCAGTAAATCTCTATTGATAAGAAACTGCTGAGCATGGTTGTTTTGAACAATCTTTTTACCAACAGACCTTTTTTTAATAGGATCAACAGCTTCGTTATTTAGCTTCTTGTATCTGTTAAAGTTTTGCAGTACCATTTAATTGCAGTATTACTTGATAGACATGATGATGGTGGTGTAACCTCAGTCTTTTCAATTAATCTTGTTGGCCTGATCAGTGGCTATGATGGGATATATGAAATTCAGCTCTCATTTTACTTGCCTGATTTGTTTTCTTAGAAATGCAACTTCTCTTGTTCTCGTGCACTGTGCTGATTCTGTCTATTCTTCAACCCACAATTACCATCTGACATGGATTGTTCTACTTACTGTCATTTTACACCTGGTTACTGATATATGACTGAAGGACAACCTACTGAAGCTGTTTCTCATTAGAAATTTTCAAGAAGCTAACACATAGCACAGGGACTATGGGGAAGAAAAAGATGAAAAGGGACATCTGATATTATTTTTTTATACCCTGAGTTACTATTCTGGCTAGCTAAAAATGCAGTGGTTACTTCTGCCCTATTTGTTAGCATGGAAGTTTGAGGTGCAGTACAATAGTTTAGTGTCTCTTTATCAGCCTGAACCATATCATTAGCACCTTAAGGGAATATTTCTTACTTCTAGGGTGAGCCCTTAGTTAATTTATCAAGAAATGTACATAAACATCTTAGTTGATGAAAACATCAGATGTGCTAAGGAGATTAACATGTTGCTTGCTTGTCAGTTCAAGAAATGTGTTTACAAGCTTACAGCTCTCTTATGTGGACCGTGATCTTGGTCTCATCATCTATTGCTGTACGATTGTGGACAATTTGGCAGTCATAATCCAGTTGTCAAATTGCTATTAAATTTTTAATGGCACTGCAAAACTGATAGACATCAATCAACACTTGCATGTTAGGAGGTTGTGTGATGTCATAAAAAGCCCTGTGCCTTTTCAACTAAATTTTATATCAGCTTACAAGAGTGCTGAATCATGAAAAAGGAACTTGCTATGGATGTTTTATTCATTTTATCTTCTCTCTCTCTCTCTCTGCTTTTTTTGTTTTAATTCCAAGTCCCATCAGATGATGCTAGGCTTCACTTAGGTTGTTATTATTCTTATGGAAGGGATGGAAGGGATAGATGGTCAATGTCCAAGCTTTAAAATCTTCCACCCCTTTTAGCCTTGTTGACGTACACCAAAAGAAGAAAAAGTGAAGTACATTTGATGGTCTTTGTCTTGTATGTGAAACTTAAGTTGTTGGTTCATCCCATTATCATGTGTGCTAACATGTATGTCATTCTGTAATGTTGTAATATTCTGATCGATATTAACATTGACATCTATCAATGCTCTATATTGATATTGCAGTTCCAACGAAGAAATCGGATTTATAAGGAGGAGCAGCGTAAATTAAGAGCTGCTGCGCGGAAGGGCAGTGAGGGGAAAGAAGGAGTTCATAACCATCATGCATAGTCATGATTTGTAATCTTTGAGAATTCTCATAATAAGAATGCGGGGAGATTGTTGTTATTTTGTTCTGGATTGATCTTCTCTAACTTGGTTTGAAATTACATGATTTTGCTTGTGAGGGATAATGATGTTTTTTCAGCCTCTGAAATGAGGTACTCAGGCACAAGATATTCAATATGTGTATTTTTATTTATGATTGTTGTGAGTTGCAATAATTATCGTGAGCCATTGTCTAATACTTTGGACAGGTGATGGTGAACCAATAGTACATACAACATTATTGGTTCTAGTATAATTATATTATAAAAAAATTAATCCTTACAATATGTTTTGAGTTGAGGAGAATGAAGGGATGGGGAGGAGAATTTGTATCTTTCTAGAAAATTGCCTTCCTTTTCTTTTCAATATTGGATATTTGCAGCTAAATGGGGATTGGAAATAAGGATCTTGTGGGAATATGATCGCATTGCTTGCAAGGTATGCTGTTTTTAAGATGGCCAATTTGAAAACCTTCATTGTGTCTTTCCTCTAATATATATAGTATTGCAAATTAATGTCCACTGGTGCTAGATTGGGAACAAGGGAGACAATGGATTGCAATAATAGAGCTGGAGTTCATTACTCCAAGGAAATGCTATAATAAAGCTGGATTTCAGTGAAGTAAATGCCGTTGGGACTTGCAAGTCACCATTCAAGGGGTGTTTTTTCATCTCCATACATTGCCAAGCTTACAGGACATGCCATCTGGATCCCTCTTGGAGTTTATGGCAGAGTAGGGAAGCATTGTTCTTGTATCCACTGGTGTTAAAAATTTGAAACATAGATCATTCTTTATTTAAAAATGTCATCATTTTTAAGTTAGGTATTTTATATATGCAGGTATATATATGCAGTTGGAACCATTCTTTATTTCCTTTGGAGCTGCTAATGATTTTTTGCTTCCTTAAAATGGTGATTTTAACAGGGAAGGGGTACGACAGCTCTCTGTTATAAGTTAAAAAGGATTATCCTGATTTTAAATGTTTTTCTGGACCTTTTGCAGATCTCGATCAAGATCCAAATCTCGTTTGCCTTCCATAAGTGATTTCTCATTTACTTTCAGACTATATTTTATGTGCATTTGTTTCAGATAGTTGTTTGACACTGCCCCTGTTTACCATGGAGCTGGACCACTAAGTTCAAGGAGACTTAATTCTGGTTTACCATTGTACTTGTTGCTTGTGCTTTTCTTCCCCACCCCCCCCTTCTCCCCTCCCCCTCCCCCTCTTTTTAAAATTGGTCCGCAGCATCAGAAGGGTGCGAGTAAAAGCCCAAAAAGGCATAGTCTGAGCAGGAGCCCTAGCGGGAGCAGAAGCAGTAGGAGCAGGAGTTTATCCAGGTCTCATTCTTGTGCCCCTTTTTAAATTGATTTCTGCTTTTATGTTTTATCCCTTATCTTATGAAAAGTTCTGATCCAGACTGCTGATATGTTTGACAGGTGAATGTGATTGTAGCCAATCTGTGATTCGGAAGCGTGCAAGGATGGAACTTATCTCCCTTTAAGTTTATTTGTAGCAGCAAAACCTCTAATAGGGTGGACAAACAATGGTGGATTTCATGGTTGGCTTCTGAAACATCTTTTGTTTGACTGTTTATTTAATGCTTTAAACCTTGATTATCATACTCAAGGGGTCTCAAAACTTGATTATTGGTTATTAGTCTTCTTGGCAATTATATGTAGGCTCCAAAATTTGGTCTGTTTGAGCCTCCTTGATGTTGCCCGGTCCTTTTCTTTTCATTTAATAGGAGTATGAAATTCTACTAGGCATGAAGTCGTTATCCCAATGGGGACAAGGTGATAAGGTAGGCATGTGAGATGTCTCCATCAGACAAGAATGACTACGTCTATTAAAATGAAGGCAAAACCATAAGTTAAGCCCCTGAACTAACCCCAGAATCGCTATTAAGCCCCTAGACTTTAATTGATGCATATAAGGCCCTGAACTCTGCCACGGAAGCAATTTAGTCCTTACGCAGCGCTTACAGCAACTTAACTGCTGTTAACTGCCATTAATTGTCATTTGGGGACTGTCTCGTGTGGCGAAATATGACCATTTTATGCCTACGTGGCAAGGGATTTGACATTTAATTTGTTCATTTGGATGCAAAAAAAAAAAAAAAAGGAAAAGTGTTTAGGAAATAATTTTTTTTGTATAATTTTAAACGTTATTTAAATAGTTAATTTTTTTATTCATGAATTTATCTAATATATACTTTAAGGATACAAATTAAGAATGTAATAAATATATTTTTATAATAAATTTATATTAAAAAATAAAAATTAACATTTAATTTTTAAACTGTTTAATTAAATTTATCCATTTAACATCAATACTAAAATTAATATTTATTTTTATATTTTTATATATATATTTATGATAAAAAGATACTTTTAATTTGTACTCTAAAAACATAAGTTAAAAAAATCTTTTATTCATTTGAAACCTATAACATTAAGTGTATTAAATTATTTAATAACATTTGAAAATTTTATAAAAAAAATTACACAAAAAAATTGTCCCTATATCACAAAAAGAAAAAAAAAAGAAAAAAAAAAAAGAAACTTCAAGTGATATAAAGATCACTTTTTTCTTTTCTCTCTCTAGTTTTTTTTTTCATGATATATGAATAATTTTTTATGTAATTTTTTTATATTATTAAATAAATAAATATATTTAATATCATAGGTTTCAAATAAATAAAAATTTTTCTAATAAAGCAGAGGTTAAGGGTTTTTTTAATCATAAATATATATAAAAATGTAAAAATTGATATTAATTTTAGTGTCAATATTAAATGGATTAATTTAATTTGATAATTGAAAAATTAAAATTTTTATTTTTTAACATAAATTTATTGTCAAAATATATTTATTATATTTTTAATTTGTGTCTTTAAAGTATAGGTTAGGCAAACTTATGAATAAAAAAAGTTACCAACGACTTGTTAGTCTGAGTGGAACAAACTTGATTTTCCTTAAGTAAAATCTTGAGTTTGAGTCTTGTGAATGTAGAAACAGGCGCTGGAAGAGTTTCCACCTAATGAGGTCCTATGCGACTCGATTCTAAATTAGTCGAGATTCAATATAATTACCGGATATCGAGAGGTTAATAAAAAAAGAATAAAAAATTAATTATTTAAATAATATGTAAAATTATATAAAAAATAATATAAAAATTGTTTCCATTTTTTTTTTTTTTTTCATCAAACCAAATGTCAAACCCCTTGCCACGTAAACATGAGATAACCATATTTTGCCAGACGAGGGAGTCCCCCAATGGCAATTAACGGTAGTAAACAGTGGTTAAGTTGCTGTGAAAATAAGGGTTAAATTGCTTCTAGGGTAGAGTTTAGGGGCTTATATGCTTCAATCAAAGTCTGAGGGCTTAATAGTGATTCTGGGGTTAGTTCGGGGGCTTAACTTATGGTTTTGCCTAAAATGAATCGTGTAATTGTGTGTGTGGTCTGGTTTCGATGATAGAAAATAAATTTGTGTGGCAATGGTGTCTTAAAAAAACGATTAAAACCCATTTTTGAATCCTTTTACTTTTGTATGAAGGCCTTTTTGATCCTCAATTAAGGGAATATCATTTTTATCCCTAAAGTTTAGTTCTTTAGCTTCTCTTGTGGGGTTTTCAACCAATTAAATAAATAATATCAAAATGCAATTAATAAATTTTGTTTATAAGGG